AAGCTCAATATTGATGGCTTTCTCCATCACTTTGGAGATTACTGATATCAGGGCAATGGGCCTGTAGTTGTTGGGCAGGTTCTTGTTCCTTTTTTTGGGGATTGGTTGGACTCTAGCTGTCTTCCAGCATGATGGAAAAATGCCCGACCTGTACGAGACGGTAAACAACTTGCATAGAATCGGTGTTAATTCTGGTGCACATTTTTTGAGGATAATGTTAGCCTTATTCGTTTTGAGACCAAGCAAAATTCGTCTGGTAGTGCGTTGATGGACTTGACTTGACTATAATAGACAGTGTTTCCTCCTTGGTAGGGTCCCTTGATGCAAACTGGAAGTATTTGTCATCGTCATCGGGACCCAGATGACAAATATGTCAGAATGCATCAAGGGACCCTAGTCCTTGGTACATAATAGTATATTCTTCAACGAGCGTATAATGATAGCTATTATTCCCGAGGATATGATTCCGAAACGAGCCGTAGGCGAGTTTTGGAATTATCCGAGAGAATAATAGCTATTATACGCGAGTAGAAGACTATACCTTCTCTACGACTATACGATAGTCAGAAATTTAATGTAATCTAATTATTATTTATGAAAATAATATACTTGATGTATGAATTTTAATGATATGATGATACAATTGACAGGAATTTTTAATATTCAACGAACTCAATGATGAAACAACACAATAATCATTAGGTCAATAAATTATGTTTCTCCTACTTAGTGACTAAATTTTTAGTGATATTCTCACAATTCGTGAAATTTTACTGTTTTTGTTGCATTTGAATCAACACTGACATTTTTATTCATATTGCTAGTTGATGTTTTTTGTGTGAAGGAACTGTTATTTGATGATGATGAACATTGTTCGATTCATTGAAGAATTCGAATGTGCCGGTTTTTCTTATTCAACATTGAATCTTCTAGAAATCCTTCTGCCATCGATGTGCTCTTCCAGCCACCATGTCTTTTCAATGCTGTTATACCTCCACCTGCATTGACAAGCAAAAAGCAATGCCCGGTGTACATCTCGGGATTTGGTAGCTTCAAAAATGTAACTATTTGTTTTCCCATTGCTGCAAACTTATTAATTCCAATTTTCTAAAGAGTACATTTTCCTTTGGTAATTCATGAAAAACTTGGAAATCCCAACATTTGCTGCTCGTATATCAATGTACTTTTTACAAAATTGATAAAATTTCCCGGTTACAGTGAACCTCCTTACAATTTTTGTTTTGTTCTCAGGAATAGTTATCATCCATGGAGATCCAAGATCTTGAATATCTTCAATATTCATAGAGTACATTTTTATGGAACGGCAAGCCTCCATTTTATCCTCCAGATATCAAAGTTAAAACTCAATAGACTCTATAAGTCAATCTGACATTCGCGAAAGTCAAGCGACGTGACCCGTAAAATGAAGCAAAGCCTTCCTGAGAAATTGGTTTTGTAGATTTGCTGGTTTTTCATTAGTCTAACCTTTTCAGTTGCTGTGGATCCTGAAAATTCTGAATCTGTGATTGGTCGAGTGCCGTTGAATAATGAGTTGGGATCCACGGTGTCTTGGAATCATCTTCATTCATCAATTACTAACCTATATGTAATCAATGTAGAATACGATAGTCGTAGAGAAATAACTATTATCATTTCGTAAAAGGAGAGACAAAATATCCATTGCCATAGGTAGCGGAAATTAATTTCTCAAATTGAAAACATGATGAAAGGTGATGGAATGGGCTATAGCAAGTAGTATTTATTTCAATTTTGACAGCTTTCTGAGGAATTGTATGCAGAGGTCAGACAAATCCAGTTAATCTCGTTGAACAGACCATATCCTCGCGTTATCCATTGTGCAAACATAAAATTTGACCTGCTAACACACATAGAATGTGCGCCTGCAATATTTGCCCAATGGACGACACCTGTTCCCGCAGGACTATCCAAATAGCAGTGGCGTATGTGGTTCTGAACTGCCCTTCATTTGAAGTGAGACAAGCAAAAATTTCGAACCGTCATAGCTTTCGATTGGATCGTCGGTACTTTTTTGTTATTTCAACTTTCCGACATGTGAACCTACAGGGTGATGTCTGAATATATGAGAAGGTTGAGATCGCCCCCTTTTTTATGCTCTGGTTCCCACGAGAATGGATATCCTGTAATGTTCAGAGAACATCGTGAGAACCAAGGGAAATGAGATAGGAATTTGTGTTCTTCTTAAATTTCTGGAGGTTATATACCTCGGGGAATACCTCCCTTGGCAATGTGTTCCAGAGCCTCGCTGTTCGTTGGATGAACGAGTCTTGGGAAAGATATGTTCTGCAGGTCTCCAAAGTGACCACGAAGTGGTGCGAAGCCTCAACTCGACGGGTTAATCTCGCGTGGACTGCCAAGGGAGGAACAATTGTTTATATTGCAGAAGAGCATCGTCCATGAAAATATCTTTAAAATAGAGCTAGATCGACAACTTTTCTATGGTGTTCCAGAGAAGTGAGTGAGTTTGTGAGCGAGGCATCACCCACGAGACGAATAGCCCTTTTTTGGACAGAATCCAACAGTTTCCGGGTATTTTTGGATGCTGCACTCCAAATATGGAAACAGTATTCCAGGACAGGTCGGATCTGTGCCTTATAGATCATAAGCAGCTGACCAGAAATGAAATAGCTCCTGGCCCGAAACAGAAAACCAAGTTTTTGGGATGCACTTTAAGCAATTGATCTCACGTGATTTTCCCAAGAAAGGTTATTGCTGATGGTGATACCAAGCATTCAAATGGATGTCTCCAAAGGTATGGTTACCCCTGACAAGCTTATGTTGGGCACAGTGAGATCGGCTTTTCTATAGAGTAAAGGCATGCTTTTGTCTTGTTTGCATTGAAATCTACCAAGTTATTGGATCCCCATTCGAGAATTGTTGCCAAGTCCATACTCATGTTGTCAACATTTCTCCCTCGTTCGTTTCTGATCTGCCTGGCTGTATTGGAGCCCTGGAAGATGAGGCGGTATGAAGGGTACTATCATCCGTGAAGCTGTGTACTGGACATGAAGTTGCTTCCAACAAATCGTTGATATGGAGTAGAAATAGTGCTGGTGCTAGAAGTGATCCTTGCGAAACACCAGCATTTATGATAAAATAGTTAGATGAAACTCCGTCGACCACTACACGGAGGGACTTGTTTCTTATGTTTCATTGGGGGCGATAAGATGAAGCATAATTAGTTTACTCGAAATGGTTTTTGATTCAGGAGGATTCATACAGGATGTTTTGATATGTGGAATTTTTTACGATACATTGCAGTCTGATATGTTCAACCAACAACAACATCACAACTTCAACAGAATTGAAGAGTAGCTTATCCTGCTCAAAGTTATCACTATGAAATGTGTGGTAGATTTCCAAACATACCAGGTATTATCGAATTATTTAGGTTCAAACTTGGCAGGGGTGTAGAATTTGTTAATTGGTCAATTTTGCAATATTCCATACTCTCCCATGACTTTAGGTTTGAGTTGAAACGACCCCTACTTCCAATTTTCAAATGGGACTCTCTGTATTTTATGCAATAAGTAGTTAGGGATTATCATAATAAATTCAACGATACTGGGTTTGATACGTTCATTTTGAACCATTGCGAAGTTTTTTGGGTTCGAAATTCCCATATGCTCAAATATCTTCGTGATCGTTTCAAATAACCCTTCGAACCCGGTATTGTTGAATTTGTTCTGATTATGGAATGAAAATCGTTCGAAAATCAAAAGTTGGGGTCGTTTCCGGTGGAACCGGTAGTGGTTGGAGAGCATGAAATATCGAAAAATTTGAATCCAACATCCCTGCCAAATTTGAATATTATACCTTCGGTACTCTGGAGACTGTCACTGGTCTAATGTATATATTGACACCCAGTAGAGAAGGTGAAAATAAACGAAAACACTTTACCAAATGATAGTTAACATAATATTTTTTCTACGGCTATAACACAAGATTGCTCTTGTTTTACTGTGTTCGACACATTAATGAGGTACTTTGTATGTCATCAATTTTATTTCCGTATCTGATATCACGATGAGTCCATTGTGTTATCATTTCATAAAATACTCATCGCCCATGGAATGTTGAATTTCAGGCAATGACAGCTCTCTCCAATAGATGAGCATTACTTGACAGGAAATCAGATGGCTACAAACGAAGAAATCGAAAAGGCCTAGTGGACTATATTTTTTTTGCTATTTCTTCAATAGAATCATCACTCAAATACCTTTCAATTCCATATGTTCTCAAATGTTTTTGTCGATTTCAACGTGCTAAAATCATCAATAATGCCACGGCACTTTTCAAACAGCTAGAAATTCACTCCAACTAACTACAAATTTCTTTTTTGTGTGTTTTTATATTATTGTAAGTAGCCGGTTTTTTTGAAAGAATTATGATCTCCGACTGCAAAAACTCCCATATACTAATTTTTCAATAGAATCAGATCATGATTTCGAAACTCGACCGCCATAATGAATTTCCCAATTTTGACAAGAGCATCATAATCTCCTACCCCGAAAAAACCCAGATACCAATTTTGAATAGAATCGGATCATAAAAGCACTCGTCCACCATATTGGATCCACCATCTATAATCTCCAACCTCTCAAACCCCCAGATATCAATGTTTATTACAATCGGATCATAACTACAAAACTCGTGCGCCATAATGGATCCGCCATCTTGAATTTACACTTTCGACAAAAAAATCATGATCCATCCGACCTCGAAAACCTCCATATACCAATTTTAAATCGAATCGGATCATAATTACGAAACTCTTCGGCCATTTTGGAGCCGCCATTTCGTTTTTTCGTCTAACAAAAATGTCATTATGCATTGCCACCAGAATCATGTACACCTGCCACATTTCAAAGCGTTTAAGGTTGGTCACAATCAAGTCCAAAGGAATACATTCATACATACATACAGGTGAAGCTAATAAAAGAGTGTTAAAAACATTCATGAACGTGCAATGCATTTTTTATTTAATAACTATAAATAATAATAACTGATATTATAAAGTTGCTCTATATACTATCTATATCATACGATATCACTATTCTGCTTTTCGAAATTGCCTCCTCATATGAGTGACTGACTACCTCTCACAAAATATATTTCATTTCGAAAAGCACAATCTCTGCAAATAAATAAAATAAACAAAATAACAAGTGTACCTATTCAATCTCGAGTTTTTCAATTCCGAAATCTCATCGATAATTTTGAATATAGAATTATAGTTTGAATAATACCATCAGTAAAATACAAGTAAAATCTGGAATCTCATTAAATACCTACCTACTCATAAATAACAATGATATAACCTCATCAGTTCACATTCAATGACCCTCATGCGGTGGCTTCTTCAAAGGTCTTTGCCCAACCTCTCGAATTCCTCGATGAAATGGATCATATCCGCCTTTTCCAATCCAGAACTCTGGAACACTATCCTGAAGAAGTTGGGGTGCTCTTTTTGAGCCTGATACGTCACCATCATGCATCCCTCTTTCATCATCTTCTCCTTCATCTTCGGAGCGACTTTGTGCAGCTTCTTCTTGAACTCTGGATCGTTCCTGTCTGCATCTCGCAAGCTTGGAGGGATGTACCAGAAGCAGATGTTCGTCAGCTCCGGTTCGTCCAGCACCAGTTCGAATCCGGGTCGGCCCTTCACGTTGTCCAAGAAGTGTTTGGCATTGTCGAACACTTTGTCTACGTGCTTCTCGAACCCGGAAGAGCCCTTGGCCTTCCACATGAACCAGAATTTCAAGACGTCTGCTCTTCTACCACACTGGATGTGCTTGTCTCCTGCAAATCAGTATATTGGGTGTCAACAAATCAACATATTAGACTAGCCATAACTTCTAGAATAGCATCAGGTGTATCAGAATGAGATTTGGCACACGTGAATGGTACACTTTCAAAAATCCAACTGTCTCAGACCTTAGACAGCAGCAATGCTTTCACGTTTGCCATTGTTTATTTCTTACAACTCCATAATTGATTTCATCATTCGTGTGATTTTTTTTTTATTTCATCGATACTTGTCATTTTTTATCATATTATATACGTTTGTCATGTCATTCCTTGATATATTACATATATACTAATTATCATATTTTTTTACCATTACCACTATATTCGGTCCGATTCTCTCAGAAGTGTTTAATATAGTGGCTAAATTGGTAATGTTGTTATTGAGAACTTTTTTAACCACCCCAGATTTTCCACTATTCATATTTGGTATTTTCTATATAACAACATTTATCAATGTGGTTAGTTTTTTACATTTTCACTCAGTAGTAAATAAAGCTATGAAGTTGGTCATTCATTTACTATTTCATCGATTATTGCTATATTTCTGCCTTTTTACGGTCAATTTAACCTAACAATTGATATACTCTACAAGCGCTTGGTTGAGACATTGCAATATACAGGGTGTTTCAAAAAAACCTAACCCCCTTGCAAGGGTAGGTAAAACACTGCGAAATGAGTTGGGTTTGCTCAGTGAAAAAATGTCGTTACGCCATCCGTTTTCAAGATACAAGGTGTTGTAACAATATTTTTTTTACACATTTTTTACGATTATGTTGAAACTACTGGCAACATTATGATGAAATTGTGTATGGATCTTTCTTAGAATCTGACACATCGCATGCATTTGTTTTTATATCTGACTCTCATAGAGGGCGCTAGTTACTCGGTTCGTACCGAGTAGTTTTGAAAATAACTTTTTTGAGGTTAGATTTTTCAATCCGAATTTGATGTGAACTTGAACATCATTCAATTTCACACCAAAAAGGTACACTTGGTAAAACTCGATACTCTGTTCCGTTTTCGGAATATTTCGATTTGAAAATAATGAAGTGGTAACTTTTGCTGGTATAAAGCTATGTATTAGAGTGAGTATTATGAAAAATTATCACCTATTTATTGAAAACCGGAAACAACAATACATTTCTGATGCAAAACATGGATTACACAGTTTTGTTATATCTTGAGCACAAAGTCTATGCTACATAGGTAAATTCACGTCAAGAGTTGTGAGACATAATTGAACATCACTTAAATGACCTAACAGCTGATCCTCAACTGTTCAGAAGAATAATACATTCTCAAAAAAATAATATAGAACCGTATATTCCTCAAAACGTAGGACATTTTGAACACTTACTCTAACTAATTAAATATTTCATGTTTCTAGTCAAATATCTCTTAATTTTCTACTTATGATTGTTTGTTCCATCAATAACTCCAGCACAAGAATGATTTTATTGTTTTTGAACCTGAATAAATAGGTTATTGAACTCAATAAAATCCATTTTATACCAGCATCAATACTACTCCATTATTTTCAAATCGATATATTCCAAAAACGGAACATAGTATCGAGTTTCACCAGGAGTACCTTTTTGGTGTAAAATTGAATTATTTTCAAGTTCATATCATATTTGGATTGAAAAATCCAACCTCAAAAAAGTTATGTTCCAAACTACTCGGTACGAACCGTGTAACTAGCGCCCTCTATGAGAGTCAGATATAAAAACAAATTCATGCGATGTGTCAGATTTCAAGAAACATCCATACAAAATTTCATCACAATGTTGCCAGTAGTTTCGGAATAATCGTGAAAAATAATTTTTTCAACACCTTGTATCATGAAAACGGATGCTGTTGCGACATTTTTTCACTGAGCAAACCCAACTTATTTTGCAATGTTCTACCTACCCTAGTAAGGGGGTTAGGTTTTTTATAAACACCCTGTGGATCAGAATCAGTCCCCCTGATAGAATCCTCGTACAAGTAAATGTAAAGCAGCAAGTATCTGAAATACTAGGCATTAGTTATAAATATTCTTCAAGTACTCTCTATACTGATATATTACGAAAACTCAACTGAGATTTATTTATTACCAACATCTTCTATCTTTGGTTCTATCAAAATTTAAAAAACCAATACTTTTGGCCTGTGATAGATCTTCCGAAATTTAAGGATGAATTTGTTGAATCCCTCGTAATTATTGAGGTAGGGTTCTGAAATTTGCCGGAGGAAGAGAAATTCCAAAGATAAAGTCAATTACGTGAGATACGGGGGTGCTTCCATAAAAAATGCGACAAAATTTCATTTTTCCGAACTGACAATTTTCCAGGAAAAATTTGATTAGTTAATAAATTGGGCGTCCTGAATCCAAATCTGAAGTGATTTTCGACCTATTTTGACTCCTGATATCATTTTCCGGAAATTGGGGTAGTTTCATGGCTGTTGGCGAGCAGTGTATATCACTGAAGATGACCCCACTTGGTCATAGAGTGCATTTTTGGTATATCTCTCGCTCCAGCAAATTTTGGGATCCTCACCCAACGATTACGTAAGATACAGGGGTGGTTCCATTAGAAGTGTGTCACACTGTATATAAATTTTTTTGTGTTCATAAATATATCTGAGAATGTTCCTTTTCAATCATTAGGAATGGTTGCTGTTTTAGTTTCTTATTTTTTATTTTTCATGTTATTTTTTTATTGGTATTATTTAGTTTTTACACTTCTTTCTTGATTGAAAAGTCAAATTTCTAGTCATTTTATTCGTTATTCATCTCACTCTGTAGACAGATGATCTGATCCTGACTATTATCATGCTTGGTAGCATCAAGATTCTTATATAAATAATTATATACAGGCGCTTGAAAAATTAAATTATTCAATAATTGTCAAAAAAAATTATATGTGTGTATATGTGTCTTCAAACAGTAAACCGATAGGTGAAGCTGTGAACAATTCTCATCTTGAAGTAAAAATCCTCACAGAAACAAGTTGAAAAACGACACGTTCTCCACAGTTCGAGTTTCGAGGTGGTAAAATTAATACAAATATCCACCTCTTCTTTGAAACTCTGTATTTTCTTGAATAATTAGGATATCAAGATGGATAAAAAACGAAAATATTCGGGATAGATTGGGCTATAATTTGGTGTTGGGAAATCGTTTCAATTATCAGTGGTTCACTCCACAGGATGACGAAAAATCCGTACTTTCTTCACACCCCTGTATATGATATAAAGACGAATCGTTTGGAGGTGGTTATTTCTCAGATGTATTCGTGAAGAATGGAGCTACAATTCGTGAAAAACAAATTTGAATCGAGTGATCCGTTCGACAGAAAATTGATGTCAAACTTAGTGTAAATTTTACCCGTTCCCCTAATTGTGCCAGTGTGTGTAGTATTTTGGGTACCTATATTTTGTATTCGATAGATCGTTATAGTGAATACTGACCTGTGTCGTATTTCGTATCATAGAATTTGTCTTTTTGGAATAGGTATGCTGCGTTGGTCGAGTTAGAACTTGCCAAAATGCCTTCATGCCTCAGTAATAGGGTGGAACATTGTTGTGGTGCAGTCAGCATCTTGTGAGGATTCCATGTCACAGAATCTGATCTGGAAGAGCATAAGTCCATAATGAATGACTATATTGATTTCACGAATTCAACAATCGAATTATTCAAACTTGAATGGCTCATTGAAACATGCTTCGTTGTAGATCATGATGAAAATTGTATCTCAATTCAATTCAATTCAGTATATTATGTCAAAGAAAATTCACATTTTTATCACAAGAGGTTGGATTTATAATTGTTTTTCACTTAATACTTGACTATATCTATATACACATACATTCATACATATAATGAATTGCTGGCAAAAAAAAATCATGAAAATTGTATCTCATGGGAAGGTATAGTTGCATAAATTTAAAAAAAAACGGTCACCAAGAAATTTAGCTAAATTGCTCGTCCTGTAACTCTTTTAATTCTGATTGATTGTCTTTATTTACCCAAGAAACATTATTGTTTATAATAGGGATATAAACAACAAAACATATATTACATAATGAATCAGAACAGTGAAGATTGCACAATTATTGTTTTACTCACAAAACAAAACATAAAATGAAAATATTATAATCCATTCCAAGTAATCAAATCGTGAATGATTTGTAGGTATGGAATTGAAGTTTACTGAGCAGATATTTCTTTAAATTGATGTCAAATATTTCTGCTCCTTTCATATTTTCCAACTCATTAGGTAAGGAGTTATATAAAATTATTCGACTGATTGTTCACCAAAATTTGACTTATAATTATTTGCTATCAATAAATTAAATCATGGGCATGAATCGTTTAACTTCATTGCAATTCAGATTTGATATTTTCAATTCCTGCTTGACAAAATAAATAAAACAACAAATTTTGAGTTTATATAATGAAACTGAATTCAGCGAGTCTTTAGGTTTGTATAGATTTACAATTTTATTGATTCTAAAAAAGGTTAATTGAAAATGCACTTTACTGATTTATTTTTTAATTTCATGAGTAGCTAAAAACGTGAAATATTATACTTCCACAAATAGATACCAGATATTGTAAATTCGATTGAATAAGACAGAAATGGATAATCTTCAGGCATCTAACAGGAATGAAATTTCCAATTTTATGTAAAATACCTGCAATAGGATTCAGTTTTTTTCTCAGATGATATATATGTTTAATCCACGGTACTTGTTCATCAATATGAAGATTTAGTTACATTTGTATATTTAATGGATTTGCTATTGAGATATATTGTGCGATTTTGGTGGGATTTCGACCAAATTGTATATTATTCATATTTCGGAATGTTAGTCTGAATATTAGGTCCTAAGAAAAGCTGATTGCTTGATCATTATACAGGGAAAAACAAATTTTGCTCTTTCACCATCTACTTCTTAACGCCCTGTGGCGAAGATGAGTGGTTAAACTTTAGCTTCATTATGTTCTAGATAGGAGTGTGATCCGTTTTGAACACGATGATTTTTTATTCACGTCGGCAATCACTTTTCAAGAGAAGATACAAGTGTTTTAGGAAAGTATGATTTTTTTATTTTTATTAACAATAATTCAGAAGCATTCTTCAACCTTCTGCTTCATCATGTTTTGAATATACTTTTGAGAAAAGATACAGGTGTTTCAAGAAAAGCATCTAAGAGATGAACTCGCCCCCCCCCTGATTCTTTGTAAAAAATTGATTCAAGCATTTCTCTTGTAACCACATATCAATATACATCACTATTTCATCAGTATTCAAAATTGAAGAAATTATATATTATTGCAAACATCATTCACATAAGATATACCTGAATAAGAAAGCAAATCACAAGATTTTCCAAAATTTAAAAATTGCAATAGACTGATGAGTAGGTAACTTATTTGCTGTTATGAGTGATAGTTGTTGATTCGGATAAGATGAGAAAATTGAACTGAATCAGGGATTCTTTGAATTATTTTGCTGAATTGAAAACAGTAGTCAGTATCATTTGCTCGATGAAAATCGTAAATGCCACTTAATCACCAATAGTTGACCTAACCTGACCTATCTTCGACCTACCTTAGATATTTTTATTCAAAGAAACTATATGAGAGAAAATCCCAAAAAAATTGAAACCATCCACCTGCTAGGCTAACCTATATACAGACAGTATTTAAATTATTAACCACTTGTTCTTCTTATTGTTCTCATCCTCAGATTATTTTATATCAATTATAACAAACTGAAAGCTGAGCCTGCGTCGCATTTTTTACTTTACAAAATATTCGTCTGAGTTTCCCAATCCCCTTCCAGGTATACACTGAAATGGAGCTATCATATCACTCTGGAAGAAATCTAATTCTCAATTTAAAGGCATTTGACCTTGAACCCCAAATAAATTTTCGAGAAATTTTCCCTGTGGCGCATTTTTTACGATGTAAACATTTTTTCTAAGTTTCTTGACCCGGCCTGGTAATCACTGAAATGACACCCTTGGCCTTGTCAAAGAATTTTCAAGAGCTACGATTCGCGCTTGAAAAATTTGATCAACTCAATGCCATGCTTTCTGTTTGTTTATTGTAATAAGGGTTTTTTTTTTTCAGAAAGTGCTAAGAAAATGAGGTAAAAATATGTGACAGGGCGTTAAGAAATAGAGGATGAAATAGTTACTTTGGTTTCTCCCTGTAGAATTATCAAGACATCAACTTCTCACGGAAACTAGTATTTTGGTTAACATCCCGGAACATGAATCTACGATTTGATCGAAATTCCACAAAAATCGAACAAGGATTAAAAAAGTTACAGTATGAACAATTTGGGCAAATTTTTTGGTGGCCCTTTTTTTGTCGGTCAATTTATCGATCAATAATTTTCATAAATATTCGTTCAATAACAATCAAGAGCACTCTCTGAATAACACTTCCTAATTGATTATGAATACTTGTATGATCCTGAAAAAAAACTTTTCGGCAATGAAAATTCACCTTCGAGAACCTCCAATTTTATTATTATTATTTTTTGTTCAGGAGCAATTAATTGCAACTCATTAAAATACGTGTCTGAAAAATATCAGCTGAATGGGACGGTCTTGAACCCATTATAAAAATGTGTCAAGGTTATTATTTTATAAAATGCATATCAAAGCGAAGGTTATTTCCACTGGAGTACCTATCAAACGTTTAAAATCACCAGCCTGTGAAATAATCGAAATGAAAGTAAAGGTTCTCATTTATTGATCATTGCCATTGACCATTTAATTAAATAGTTGAGTTGTCTTGATTTTTATCGATAACTGATTGGTGCTTGCTGATGCTTGAGTATTCTATAGAATCTAAATTATTACGAAATCAACAAGTTGATTGCAATTCCATTATGTACCGATTTTACCCTTGATACAAACAAACAGTCCATCCAGACGGCAGGTCGTGGAAAAGAGGTGTCACAACGAAATATTCAGAAGTTAATGAAATCTCAGTATGTTGTTTGTACATGTTTGGTGATGTCAAATACAGGTTTTCGACGTCGAGGAGATTGTGGAAAATTCTTGGCAGCCGGAAAACCTCGATATTATCGGACTTGTTTCAATTTTCTACTTATATCTCGGAAACGGCCAATTCTACGTAAAAAGCCACACAATTCTCAGTAGATAAAAAAAAACGGAATCGGACCGTATAGAAAATTTTTCATGGACGATCAAAAATGTAGAATTTTTCGAATTATGGTAGAAACTGCAGTAACCCCAAGTGCTGTAGAATTACAATATCAACTGTCTACCCACATCTTCGAAAGTTATAGGGCATCAATCGGAGAGCTCAAAAAGCATTAAAAAATTGTAATTGGCTCACTTTTTCGAATTGTAGGCACTGTTTCTCCAAAATTTGCGTTTCTCGAAAATGGCTCCCTGATGTTGATTCTGTAATACCCTTACTTGGGCTAAGTGACCCCAATGACCCATAATCGCCTAGTGAGACCTTGTCCACCGTGTCCATTATACCAATGTCTAGGATCAAAATGAGGCCTTACCTATACATACAGGGTGTTTCATCACTAATTGGAAATATTCTAGCTATATAAAATCCTGAGCACAAAATATGAAGATTTCACCCAAATCACCTAGATAAAATGTATGTTATTATTCATAATATTAAAAAATCTGAAAATTATAATTTTATTATGTTTATTTTTTGTTAATATGGAATGAAGTTCCATTTGCGTTATGAATGCAATCTAATGATCCATAAATCCATAAATAATTAATATTAAGATTAAAATAATTGTACAGCTTCTTGTTCAAATTGAAATATCTCGAAAAATGCTGACTTTATCGCTATGAAGAAGGAATACTATAATCACGTAGAAAGTATTGGAGAATCGAAAAATGGTGTTGAATTAGGGAAGGATCAACCGGTCACTTGCCCTTGTCGTACGCCTCTGGTAGTAGTCAGAAACGTTCATTCCACATAATTTATTCAGGTGTATAGTATCTACACTTCCCGCCAAATATGTCAATGATACGTCAATTAGTTTCAATTGGTACTAGACACAAATAATTCGCGATAGAAAATAACACGTTTCCCCACCTGACGGCAGCAACGGCAACACTTCTGAGCGGTTTGTTTTGATGATATGACCAATGAACACAAACAAAAAACAAATGTGATTCAATGAGAACAAAGTAAACATGACCCTTTGACAGCTTTCAAGAACTTCGATAGATGGCGTACGCTTATTTTCTATCGCAAATTTTTATATTTTCACTTCAAATCACACTAGCAGCAAAATTATTGCCTCGTCTCATTTCATGAATTGAAAATGCTTTTAATATGATGAGTAGATAAAGCCTAAGACCTATTATGCATGAATGTCAAATAAAATATTCGAAATGTGAGAAACATTGAATAACAAACTTTTTATCTGAAAACCAATGTCTTCATAGTTCAAAATTCAAATAAAACTTGAAAGAATATATTACCCATAGGTTTAGTTGAATATGACGCACGAAAAATCGTATGAATTTTTCATTCGATCGTTTTATTTTTTGGCATATCTTCGTAGTCGTTTGAAAAAATATCATCAAACCCGGCATTGTTGAA